TTCCCCTTCCAGACCAGGTCGGGGACCCTCAGTCGGCTTGTCTATGTCCGAGCCCGTACACGAACTAGAAAAGATGAATTGGGTACTCTATTGTACAACACTTATCAAGCATGGCTAATCCAAGAAGAATTTATAGGCATCTTTCCACGCCTGCTTAGCGTCCTTTTCAACAACATCCTAAGAAAGATGAGAAGCGCCTTATGAATTCACAATAAAATACGTACCCCATGACATGGGATGATCCTCTGAAAGTCCCATCCATCAACAGTTTTCACTGCGCTTTTCATGGCCCTTGAAGATATCTGAGCGACATCTTTTGAACTAATTGGTATCTTACTCCTTATTTATACCCATACTCCAAGTAAGTCTCGGATGCAACCAGGATTCAGGATCTAAAGATCTGATGATGGGAACCTTTCCGGAAGCGCTGCTTTTGGAATACTATGAGCAGACGTAAGAAAGGGCCGACATCCATGATCATGAATAACAGACCTGTTCCGTCCCAGGAAGGTTTAGGAGTAAGTCTGCGTGAATCATGCTTTTCGAGGCTTCATGAAGGAAGGCGACATCTTTATTGATAAATCCTGGGAAATAACTGAAAACACGTCAGATAATTTCTGAGTGAGATGACATGTGCAGACCAGTGTTTAATCTGCCAGGCGGTGAGCATTGAAAGGGAGAATGGTTGAAGTAGATGAACCTCGTCCTCAAATCCGTATTTCGTTCTTGGAGCATCCAGTTCCCAAGCTAGTCCCGAGACTCAGGATCACGACTATATCACGTACTACAAGGCCTTACCACCGTCAAATTTGAGGTCCTTGTTATCGTGCCTCTTGATGGCATTTTGAGGCGCGATTAATTTAGCATGCGGATAAGCGGTTTTGAATTCAGCTAGATATCGTTAGCATAATCGTTGACGAGGCCTTTTGGACTAACTGAAGGACAGGTGGTGGACAGCGTCCACACCGATGATGTACCTAGAATAAGCAGCAGTTGGCAAGGATATAGATTTAGCAAGTGATATGAAAACTCGCTGAACCTGTCCTAGTTCATTCAGCTTGGTCTTGGTCGCGTCGTCCAAAGGTGTGGAAGCTAAGACCCAAACACCGCCGTTCTGCAATTTGATAGCAGTCGAACGGCCGCCAAATGGCATGCCCATACGAGAAAAGGGCCTTGAGAACGGTCACATTCCGGGGATTACAGATAAAGCGGAGATAGGTACTCGGAAAAGGTCCAGACATCTTTGGCAACCTGCAAGAGATGATGTTGGAGTCGTATAAGCGCGGAAAAGCCAAGGCGTACCTCTCGAATGACTAGTTCTGTCATTTCTGCAGCTGTAACTTGAATATTCTGTGGTGGTAAGAAGGAGAGAACTTTGGCGAATCCATAACGATCGCGGACGCAACCAACCACTGCATCAACTACGTCACCAGATGTGATCTCGTCATCGAACGGCTCAATTCAAATTCGACCGATTAGGACGAGACCCACGTGTTGCGTTTTCTTTTTTTTTTTCCACCGGCGACCACCGTGACTAGGAGCAACAGGCCTACTACGGCGAACGTCCATATCTCTGTCTCAATCGCTCAGCCTTCGCGTGGGCTTAAAGGCCCTGCCGATGCCGTTGCAGACGGTGCTCTGTTGTTACGTCTGCAGATGGAGTCCTTTGCGAAGGATTTCATCTGTGCAGTGGATACGTCCACAGGAGGTGTCCTTTGCGAAGGATATCGCCTGTGCAGTGGTTACGTCCACAGATGGGATCCTTTCCGAAAGATCTCACCTGTGCAGTAGTACTCGGTTGTTACGTCCACAGGTGGTGTCCTTTGCGAAGGATATCGCCTATGTAGTGGTTACGTCCACAGATGGGATCCTTTCCGAAAGATCTCACCTGTGCAGTGGTACTCGGTGGTTACGTCCGCTGGTGGTGTCCTTCGCGAAGGATATCACCAGTCTGGTGGTACTCGGTGTTTCGTTCGCAGGCAGTCTCTTTCTCAAAGGAGCTTGCCTGTTTCGCTGTTCTTGGTTTCCGTTTCATCATTTTCATGGGCTAAGGCTTGAGCGAAACAACGGGCCTCGTTTGTTGTGCGCACATGATGCTTGTGTTTCGTTCCTGCAGTCTGTGGTTCTTTGTTTCTTGGTGGATGATTCGTATGCTCCCATTGTCCTTGATATCTTCTCATTGCTGCTGACCTTCCATACACCTCATGGTCCGTGCACCATGTCTCACTCTCCCGTTACGCGTTTCACATTTGTTCACATGTTCTTTCACTGTCATTGTTGACGCATATGTCTCATGAGCCATTTCATAACGCTCCTCCTTTTGGACGGCACTGATTCTTATTAAGGAGTCATACACTACACCGGATTTTCGAGGTATACACCAATGCTAACTGGTTCTCCGTGTTCGATTGTGCTCATCCCCATCACTTTTCATTCAATTGTGTACCCTGCGAAGAGTCTCTACTCCGCGAGACGCACTCAACAGTGTGATTACAACGGTATGAGCCTTTGCAGCCACAGCGCATGGTTCGCCATGTCAGGGCTGTGGACCCGGCCGTTCCTTATTGGGACCTGGCGCCGGTAACACCACCACCACCACCGTAAAATCTGAGTGCTCGACTCTCATCTCATAAGGTCAAGCGACGTTCGAAGCACAAGAGGACTTGAAATATGCGGTGTGACGGTCAGGGTTGCCGTCAATGGCGGGAACCCTGACATTCACTCCCCCAGTAGAGTGCCCTTTTGACTAACCTTGTCGTTTTGTTGCCATCAGTTTCCCACACATTAATACCACGTACCTCTGCCGTATACGCGATATATGCATTTAACATATCAGCCATCTTCGCGTCTCTACATGGGATACAATGCTCTGGGCAGCGTCCTCCTGTACTTGTACTTACAACTTCGAGTTGGACACCTACACTCTGACCGTTCCTATTGGTATAATTCTCATTGTGTAGGATTCCAGAGTGGGTCTATTTCCGAAGAAGAGATCGAGTATGAGGCCCGGAAGCACAACGAGGAAGGTTCTTTAGCCGTTATGCGTTACGCGTTATGACCAAAGCATAGGTCGGTAATTGGTTGTATATCCTTCAAGTAACGAGCTTTATTTATTCATTCTCCCTAGATATTCGAGTGACATTTGCCGAGCAGTGTTCATTCATGACGTTGTACGAGACGCCAGAGTCTGTATCTCATCACCCGATGAATCGATGTTCATTATCACGGCATACACAATGTTAACTCGTACGTGTATACACATTCCCGAACTCTTCTCTACCAGAGTGTTATTATTATGCCTCGTTCTCGTAGACTGTCGACTCTAGACAAAGTATCTCCTCGGAGCTTGCCTCCCATCCTCACACCTATCACAACAGACTCGACCGCCCGATGCTCAACCATATCCATAACAGCGGCCTCATTCACGCTGCCCGACCAGACAAGCTGCAAATGCTGCAACTCTGGCAGCATCCTTGGATCATAAAGCCCTTGGATGAAATTAGGCGTAATGAGACGCATTTGCACCTGGTTTTGCTCCACGATGGATAACCTCAAGAGGTTCGGCGCCATGCGAAGGATGGGAAGCGCATCAGTGGAAAGAAAGTCAACGGTGGTGAACGTGAGCTCCGTGAGAGACTGGGAAACGCGTTGTACGAGGTTGCGAAATACCTCTGCCTTGTAAGTGTTACGGTACACTTCATGAACAGTGCTGACGAGCTCTAGGGAAGTAAGGTACGGGATCGTCGTTTGTGAAATATGATCTCCGATATTGTCTAGCAGCACATCTTGGAGAAGTAGCTTTCGGAAGGGAAGATCGCTTGTGTTGAGTAAATCCAGATTGCAATGATGAAACGTAGCTGTGGTAACATTGGGGAACCTCTTATGGCACTGCAAAGCGTCGATGTTCCGCGATCGATAACCGGAATAGTGGATCGTCGTGATCTGTTCGTCTGGCAAGCGAAAATGTACGATATGGGAAAAACTTCCCAAAGACAGAGTATGCAATTTCGGAGCATGCGCAAATAAACCGATGACCACCTCGTCAGGGAAGGCTTCGAAACATCCGGAGAGCTCCAGATGTTCCAGTTCTGGAAATTCAATGCGGCTATCTTCTAGCGCTATGTTATCGAACTTGAAATTCAAATCTAGGGAGATGTTCTTCAGGCGGCGCAAACTAATTGCGCTGTCGTCGTAGAACAACGAATCCAAGCAGTGATAGCGGCTTTGCGGAATGTTAAGATATAGGTGCGGGGGTGAGTACCGTGCCGATACATCAAGGGATAATGGGAGCTGGCATGAACGCTCTTCGACCAATTTTGAGAGGTTTTTAAAACGCGGCAATAGGTCTGAGTTGTCGGCGTTGGCGAATATGGACGTCCAAAGTTGAGGTGAAGATAGACATATATCTCGCCAATATGCGCAGACAGCGGAGAGGTGGAAGGGTCCTTTGCATGCAGATCGCCTCTCATCGCGACCATCATAGAACGGTACGGAAATGCAGACACATTCAAAGATGATGGAAAGGATCTCCGGGGGAAGCCTGCGAATGGGCGCAACGAGAGATCGGACTTTTCGGACCGACTTCCTTATCATCTGGCGCCCAGCTTCGAGGTTCTCCACAATGCATTTCAAGCTGGATATTTGCGAATTGTACTCGTATATCTTTTTGCGTAGTTCTGAGAGGGTTTGCGAGTACGCTTCTTCTTCCATTCTGGGAATGATCTGTCTTCCGGATCGTAGATACGCATCGACATCGAGCGGAAGAGAAGAGACTTGGGTATTAAATGAGTGGCCACAGTTGCTACAAAGTGTGATGGAGGATTTGGTTTGGGCCATGGGCGTTGTAAAGGAGGAAGATGTGTTTGAGGGCGTGTTTGAGGTGAAACCGGAATAAATAACTGTAAAGCAAACGGCAGACTTGCGGCAAACTGAGACTGGAGCGTTTCGGGTCGCATATTATACCGAGCCAAGTATTCGTATCAGTATCCTGTCCGTTACACTTGAAGGGGATATCAGCGAGGACGAAGTAGTCGATCTTGATCAACATACCTGTTCCACTACACGACACGATCATCAGCAACTGTAGTGTCATATAACCAAGACACGAGACGTACCGTCGTAACATCATGCAAAGCTACTGCAAATGACACCAGTGTCCGTATGGCCACAATCCGCATAAGCCCAGTCCATCGGCATACAGTAAAGGGAGACCATACCAGCAACACCATAGTTGGCCTGTCCAACTGGAACCAAAGCCGGCGCGACAGCACTAGACCTTGGTGATCTCGTATAGTGTGCTTATTGATAGCAGACATCACGAATATCCGGTCCTTATGCGCCATGGGGACCGATGGTGTTGAAAGGAAGCGAGTGTTTTTTGAAAAAGGAGAATGGCGCGACACTTCTTGATATCTCTGGAGGCCATTTTCTCGAGGCCTTCACGTATATTCTTGGACCGATCGATACTGTATTCGCGACCGTGGTCCTCCAGCACCCTTCATCCCAAGTGCTCAATTTTGATGGCACACCCACTGGTGATGTTATCTCCGCTGACGGTCCGTCGCAGGTAGTCGTATCTGGCACGCTAAAGAGCGGTGCTGTGATGAGCTTGCACTGGCGTACGGGGAAGAAGAAACCTGCCAATGTGAAAGCGGCACCTCCGCTTGTATGGGTTATTGACGAGATGAAAGGAAGCATAAGGATTGAGAGCAATAATCCCTTGGCAGCTTTTGTAGCGGTGTACGAACCAACACAGCTTTGGGTGAATGGTGATGAGGTGAAAGTTGATGATGATGGTAAGACGAATGAGGGTAGGTCCTGGGAGGAATACTTGAAGGGCGAAGGCGCTGGAGATTATCCCGACTTGCAGCATGCAGTTCAGATCAAGAGTATTGTCGACGCCATCTGGAGGAGTGCTGAGGGACGCGTTAGGATTACCCTGTAAATGCTGGAAGAACATGCGGCGCACCAATGTACAATATATGCAGGCGAGGTCGAATGCCGCGCCCTTTTGTTCACTTATGCTTGAAGACAAACCGCTTAGGCAACGGCTTTGGTACAAGTCAAGGATATACACACTTGAAAGCGATCGTTTCCTGGCTTCAACTTTCTCTTCCTCCTTTTTACTATGCCAATTCTTCATTTCGCAAGTGTTCTGGATGGTCTTCTCGTCAGTTTGGAGGGAAATCGAGTGATTTCGATGTAGATGTAACGTACAGGAGCAGAAGACTTCCATGGCTTTCCCCGAAAATCAAGAAAATGTCGTAAACATCGGAGCAAAGTTTCTGCAGAAAAAGACCGATAAGTTTCCATGTTAATTTATGCATCCAAGGAAGCAAAACATGATGTACCCGATTCTTTGATTAAAGATGATTCTTCTGGTTAATTTCACCATTTCATAATACCCTCCAATACTAGATTTGTGTCATACAGGTGAACGAGTACTGATGAAGTGTCTGAAGGGTGGCCAGCATGATTATTTGGCAACGGCCAATGGAGGAGAGCAAGTTCCGGAAATTGACGCGTCGCGGCCTATCATTGGGAGGAATATGAGGACAAAAGAGCCGGGAGAGCAAAAGCAAGAGAACAATTCAATTTGGACGAACCGTGAGACGACAGTCATGGAAGGAGGAAGCGGCTTGAGCCGAGTTTTGTGTGGCTGTGTCGAGCTCGCTCCTTCATCCGAGTCATGGACATCCCTGAAGATATATTGGAAGAAATCCTTCATCATTTTAGCTCAGATTTCCCCTCACTCAAGGCATGCTCACTGTCCCATTCCTTCTTCCTTCCTCCAACCCGCCGACTCCTTTTCTCCTATGTGAAAACTTCCTCACAACAAGCAAATGAGCCATACAGACATCTGTCTCAATTTCCGACAAACTCTGGTGGCTTCAAAATACGTCTCATCATCGATTCGTACCCTTTCCTTATTTCACTTGTATTCGACAGACCATCACAACTACCGCTGTATATTTCCCTCCGTATTAGAGCTTATTCCCAACCTTCGGCGGGTTCACATATTTCTAGCAATGAACAGAGCAACTATATTTGGGGATAGCTTCCCTCCACCGCCTCATTCAATATCTAGCGTCTGCCATCTTATATTAGAAGAGATAGTCTTCGACTCGTCCGCTCAGATGCTATCCCTGTTCGTTAGCTTCAGCAACCTTGAAGTCATCTCTACAGCCAGGATCAGCATTGATAACCCCAGTGGCGCGGAGCGCATGCCCGTTCCATCCCATCGTTGTGCTCCTTCTACTCTAGAACTTAGTATGGGTGGTGCTCTCGTGGAATGCTTGTTCTCCCCTCAATCCACGATATCTATAGGCAATCTTCGTGTGCTTAGCGTCCAGGCATACGAGCGAAACATCGACGCCATCTCTTCCCTTATCTTCCTCAGCAGCCCATCCTTGGAGCATTTGACGTTCCTCCCTTCAGCAGACTGTACGTTGTGGCTCTGAATGTTTGGATACGTGTGCTCACTTGTGATCATAGCGGCTCAATACTATATAGACCTGAGGCGACATATCCGCCTTCGGAGCATCTGCACTAGCCTGGTGTTTAATAGCCACTCCATGGATCCAGCAGATCGGTCGAAACCTTTCCCCTGGGCTCACCGATTTTTTAAGACACTCCCGTCGTCGGTGGAAGATATTTTCACGAAATCTGTTTTAGACCATATGATGGGATTCTAGTACCTCGAAAACGGAAGGAATGGCAAGAGTTGGACCATATCCTTGCTAACCATCCATGGAATTTTACAGTACGGTTGGGGATATCTGCTGATCATACCTTGTTCCTTAGCGATCCGGAATATGACGATGTCATTCACGGCAGGTGGCCAACTAACGGTGATATGGACGAGTATTTTCGAAACTATATGTTGGTGGATGGTATGCCTGAGATGAACAAGTTGGGACGTCTGAATTGCGAGATCATTACAAGTGCGTTTGTTGTCCGTTACATCGCTTTTTAACTAATACTTTTATATTGTTACTTAGGCGATATAGACTTTTCTCCTTCCACGACAGAAATGTGGCGACTGTGCATGTTCTTGTGATACAAACAATGTAAATGACATCGTCTACGCATGACCTAGTCCCCAATGTACCCTCTCTTCGTCCAGTCCACCTTATTCGACACCGTATTTGATACTTCACCACCCAAACTGCCATAGCTACTGTCCGATGTATTTTCTCTCCGTGTCATGCTGCGAGGTACGTTCGCTTGTGCCGGCGGCCCTTCTTCAATCTCATCCAGTAAACTTTTCTTGATATCTGCCACGATATCGCCAATGTCTGATGCGGTTGGAAACCGATCCGGTAGCGCCCAGGTACGAAATGGTTTCTTCGAACTAGAGGGTATGCAAAACGTGGGAATGTGTCTGGCCAAAGTGTGATCACAAGCAAGACACGGCCGTTTTGTCACTCCGATGGTGTTTTCGGCGACTTTGATACCCATCTCTTCGCAGCAGATGACAAGTCACACCGGGAAGATGACAATTTTTGGCAAACCTGAATTTTGAGTCTAAATGTAACATTTTAGGAGCATAATTTGGGGTCAACAAACGTCGCGTTTTGGAGGATCCAAAACCTATGCCACCCGCCAGAGATGAATTTCGGGAGCATTCAAATTTTATGTAAAATCTCTGCCAAATTCGACCTCTCAAAACGTTTGATTGAACTTGTACCAACCACTAACTGGACGCGAGAATGTGACTCAAACATAGAACCCCAAAAGCAACACTGATATTGGTATGTACTACTCGTATGAACCCCGAATACTAATACAACATCCGTGAAATGCCAAAGTGAAGGATGGAAAGAGGGTATTCCGACATGGCGACGTGCTAAGCAGATAAACGTTAGAATCTTGGACACCGGCTGGTCCCTAATAAAGTGAATCTCACTTGAAGACGACAATCGAAAGTCTGATACACACTCTCCAGTCCTACGACACATTTACTCGCTGTAAGAACGTCCAGTCAGCGGGGAACGTCTGTAACAGCGGTAATCATCGACTCACAGGAGAGAAAGGGTGATGTCGCCGTTAACCTTGGCCTGGATGGCAATCTCCACCTCAAGGTTGAGGTCAAGACGAAGTTTCAAAGCTTCCTTGGGAGCGACGGTGCCCTGGTTCGAGCGGGTAGCGACGGAGGTAGAGGTTTCTGGGGCAGACATGTTTTGCTGATACTGACTAGGCCGCTTTGGTTAGGGTTTTATATCACAATCGACGGACCCGGGGTATAAATGAGGATATTGTCGCGCCATAATGCAGCTCGACAAGTCGGGTGCCTCGTCCAAGCAACTTAACTTTTTTCGTCTCGAAGCAGTCAGAAGGCACTTGCTACGTAACGGTTCTTATTTCATAATGAACACGATGCAGACGATATTCTCCTGCTTGCGACTCGGGGCCTTTTGGGCATAGACCGGTGAAGGAGAACGCATGGAGTGGAGGTGTTAATACAACATTTTGTTGCTGGCATGGCCGGGAAGAGTAGCCATATGTATGGGTGCTTGTGGGTCCAAAATTCAACTCCAAGCTTTATATCGCGGGAAAGTCCGGCTTGCGGCTTGATTTGCAACCACCATCACCTGCTCGCCATCATCCACGACTCCGCTACTCTTACGCCATCACTCCCGCGCGACGGTCTCCGAGGCATGTCTTCATTCCCCGGAGTAGATTTCTGGAAAACATGACCGCAACCTTCGATCTCGACGCACCCCACCTGGGCCCATCTCGTTATCTTTTTACATCAAAACGCGGCAACTACTGTTCTCAAAATCAGCTATCATGAGAAAAGAGCCTTCGACGGAATGACAGTTTCGTGAGTCGGCCCACCTAGATATTGTTCGAAGCTCATCGTCTCGTTGCAACAAATTAGCCCGAGTTTCGCTACCCGCCACTACCACCATTTCTCGCTCTAATGCTCTTCTTTTCCCTCTCTGCGTCCGACCGAGGTAGTTTTGTTATGGAGAAAAGAATCTTCCCCGACAAATATGATAACCATCGTGCTTGTGGACAAGCGCGAGTCCATTGGTGCAGGCTTACGACAACTCGAAAACCGGTGTTACAACACAGAGCTTCCAACTCGACCCCAGAACACCCACGAGGACTCCGGGATCGCCAAAAATTCCTCGCCCCAAAATCTCCGGTCGCGTATAAAAGGACCTTGAAGAGCCAGCGAGTCTCCCAACAATGTCTGCCCCAGAAACCGCTACCAAATTCGCACCTACTCAATCTTCTTCCGTCCTCGGTGGACAAATCGTCGGTCGCACGCCGCGTGAGGCTGCACCTCCCGCTGCCCTGAAGCTCCGTCTTGACCTGAACCTTGAGGTTGAGATTGCCATCCAGGCCAAAGTCAACGGTGACATCACCTTGTCGCTCCTGTGAGTAGATTATTCATTCATCTGGTGAATTTGGCTGACTTTTGGCGCGTGTAGTGACTGAACGTTCAATCGTCGTACTTGAATGTGCTGGGGAGATTGGTCATAAATCGTCAGGTTAGCGTTCTTGTTTCGTCGTCAGATGGGTGTTTTACTGAGACCTTTTTGGCCATATAGTTATCGTCGACGTTTTGATGGTGGATGGGTGATGTTATGGATGTACCATTCTTACGTGTAGCGCTGCTTTCCAATCCATTTTTTATCAACCACCTCTTCGTGTGATTGAGTGAACCTCGACGCTCTTGACCTTCAGACGGCAGATGCACTCGTGGTTGTCGAGCAATGATTAATGAAGCTTGAAGGAGCAGCGTTGAAGCAAGACGTTTCTCTATTGAATCCGGATAAACAGGCGAGCGAAATAGGCCAGCAACCTCAAAATGACTGGCTACTGTCAGGGCATCACTGGTTAGCATCCACGGTGGCTTTTTTTTGTCGTGTCGTCCCGTCTCTAGTAGGGCACCAGTGGGTGGGACGTCTTTCTCCTTTCCAATCCTCTTTA